GGGGGGGGGGGATGGGAGGCGGGCACCTAGGAGCCTGTGGCTAACCCCACAAGGTCTGTGAGCCTCTTCAGAGCTGCTAGTGCTGGGGGGTGGGGTGGGGGGGGGGGGGAGGGCGGGGCACCAGTACCTTGATGATATCCAGCCCAGGCTGTGGATACTCCAGCACAGGCAGCTGCTCGTCAATGTTCATCAGGCCAATCTCGTCAGGGTCGGCCCCCTGGCTGACCAGGTAGACCACCTCCTGCAGTAGGCTGGTGCCTGGGAGAGAGGCAGGGAGGTGCTCAGAGAATGCTGGGCCTACCGCCACATTGGGGTGACCTTGTGCCAACCAAGTCGCTCACGTCTAGTGAGGCAGCAGGTGCCTGCCTCACCTGCGGAGGGGCATGATGGCGTTGCGCCTGCGGGGGGGCGGGGGGGAAGGGGGAGACTTCACAGCCTATGCTACCTATGTGGTTTCCCAGCAGGCCTTCATCCACAACTCAGCCTCCACGGAACACAGCGGGGTCTCCTGGCTCCGAAGGCAGGGCTGCGTGGTCCGTGTCCTTTGCACACGGGTGGGAGAGTAATCTACGAGCTCAGTGGCAGAGGGGAGACAGTGGCTCTTGGACGTCTGTGGCTTAAGAGCACAAAGGAGCAGCCCTGGGTCCAGGCCACACACTGGGTGGTGTGGGAGCAGCTGAACACAGGTGTGACTGCACTCGGCTACAAACAAACCCCACCTCTGCCTGCAGTGCCCCCAGGACTGCAGCCTGAGCCACGGGGGCTGTCATGCCACAGGCCCCAGACCAAATGCCCTCCAGGGACACCAAGCAGCAACACAGCCTGGACACATGCCATGGAGGTGGGAACAGGCACTCTGCGCGGACGGCGCACTATGGATTCAGCCCCAGGCCCCTCCCCAAGGCCTGTGCTTGCACACAGCCCTGAAAACATCACCACCTGCTGCCCAGCCTGCCCTCAAGCCAGGCCCCAAGCGAGGCCGGCAGGAGACTGCCTGAGTTCACCTCCCCAGGCGGCCTGAGCACTCAGCACTTGATGGAAGCAAGAAGGACAAGGCCCAGGCTACACAGAGGCTCAGTCTTGGGACCCAAGAGCCAGGCAGGTGTCTGCTGGAAAGCCAGGAACAAGGCTGCTCCGCCAGCTCTGTCCCCAGAACCGGAGCAGTCTTGATCTCAGCACCATGGACAGCTCCCAGAGTCAGAAGCAGTCAGAACAGGACCCTGGCTGCACCAGGGCCTGGCAAGCAGAGACCCCTTTCTATCATTCACCAAAGTCACACTTCTGCCTAGCTGCTGTTTTGCTGTATGTGTGTGTGGACGGGGGGGGGGGGGGGGTGGGGGTGGGGGGGGGTAGGGGAAGAGAGATATTCTGGGACATGGGGTCCTCCGGTCTCTGAGCTATCTGGTTATCTGGTTCAAGGCTAGCGCTCTACCACTGAAGCCACAGCTCCACTCCCTGACTTTTGTTTGGGTGGTTAATTGGAGATGAGAGACCCATGGACTTTCCTGCCCCAGCTGGCTCCCAGCCTCGATCCTCAGATCTCAGCCTCCAGAGTAGCTAGGACTTCAGGCATGAGCCACCAGCACCCAACTCACTACCACCCAGTTTAAAAGCACTTATGGGTTTCACAACAGAAGATGCATAGCCTTGGGCTAGGGGTGAAGCTTGGTGCCTGCACCTTTTCCCCACATGGGTGAAGTTCTGGGCTCCAGTTGACCTCCCCCCATCCCACTCCTCAGAACCAACCCTTCTTGCCTCAGATTTCTGTGTCTGACTTCATCATCACAGGCCCATGTCACGTGGGCTAACCTCGGGCTTGGGGGATAAGGACAGAGCCCTGTGGCATCCCTGAGAGGGCTCCGGTCTATACCAGCGTTGCTCAGTTCGGCACTTCGTGCTAGCCCAGCCCTGCAGGGACAACATATGCTGTCCTGTCCAGCATCTGCTGCCCCTGGTTCAGGCAACAAAGCCCCGTGTGCTACTCCGCAAGAAAGTCATCACAACACGTGTGACAGGCACTATGTGACAAGCCGTCTAACCGCTCACTCACGCTGCAGGAACGCCTCCGGCCACAGCTGGCAGTGGGTAACTGAGGATCCCTCACTTCTTGGGGACTTGCCCAACCATTGGCTCTCCTGTTTCAGTCTAGTGAACTGCCCAGAGCCACGCCTCAGAGCAGCCGTGAGCCTGGACCACTCACTGTGGGCCAACCCTTCTCTACCTGTGATGGAGTGTGACCATGAAAAGGGACCACAAAAGGTGACCACACGGCTGGGCTGGGAAGGTGGCTCAGTGGTACAGTGCCTGCTTTGCATGCATGAAGCCCTGGGTTCGATTCCTCAACGTCACATACACAGAAAAAAGCCAGAGGTGGCACTGTGGCTCCACTGGTAGAGAGCTAGTCTTGAGCACAGAGAAGCTCAGAGACAGCGCCCAAGCCCTGAGTTCAAGCCCCAGGTTACACATGGAGAGTGTAACCATGAAAAGTGACCACACAAGGTGATCACAGGGAGTGTGGCCACAAAATATCATCGCAATGGGAAGTGTGGCCATGAAAGAGGATGGTGGGTGACCTGGGGTGTGGCCACAAAACATGGCCCCGTGGAGTGTGGGTGTGGCCACGGAGTGCGACTATGGCCGTGGGCACCTCCACACCGCTCCCCTCCCCCCGCCCCCAGTGTCACTGGCAAACTGGAAGGCACAGAACTTCAGGCGAAGATGGTATCAGGCTGTGAACTCAGGACCCTGCGCTTGCCAGGCAGGTACTCCACCAGTTGAGTTGTTCTCCCAAGTGCTTGCTGGCTATAGTTTTGCTTTTTTTAGTACAGTCTCACATTTTTGCCCACACCAAGCTGGACTGATATCCTCTTACCTATTCCTCCCACATGGCTGGGATGACAGCAATGCACCACCATTTCCAACTTATTGGTCAACAGGGGGTCTCACCTATTGCCATTGCCGGCCTGCAACCACAAACCTCCGGAGTGCCAGGGATGACAGGTGAGTCACGGTGCCTGGTCCTCCCTCAGACGTGGCTCTCTGCCTCGTCCCAGACGAGGATCCCGCAGAGCTTTGGGACACACCCCAAGGACACTGCACGCCCAAGCTCACAAAGCAAACAAGCATCAAACCCGAGGCCACCCCGTGTGCTTTGCCCCCACTGAGTCAGAGCAAGGCCTTGTGTGCCCCGGCACTGGGCTGGGGACGGATTCCCCAGCCACGCTGCTTCTGGCCCCGTGGCACCTGGCTCCCGGGAAGCACAAGCTAGGAGCGCTGCTGCTGCCCTGGGAAGTCCCAGCCAATGCTCACCCACCTCTCCAGGGACCCCACAGCCGGAGCCCCAGCAGCCCAGAAGCCACCCCTTTCCTGGCCCCACCCTCCTCCTGATGGTCCCACCCTCCGGGACCCCACCCCACCTCCAGAACTGGGCTGCGGACTGGGGGTCTGGGCTCAGGAGGCCTGATATGGACGGTGGCTGGTGCCAAAACACACAGCCCCTCCCAGTAAGGCCCTGTGAGTGAGGGCACCCAGGGGTTCACATGGCTCGCCGGTACTGCCCTGCGTGCCAAGTGGGCGCCCGCTGGGCAGAGGCGCTGGCCCGGAGATGCCCTGCGGAGACGGTGCCTCAGTTCCTCCACTTAAAATGGCCAAATGCCCAAGGAAATGGAAGGCCTGGCAGGACGGCGCGACGGACGAGTGCCGGCCCCATCTCTTCCCCACCAGTGCGGGCATGGGGCTCAACCAAGCCCACCAAGAGAACCCGGGGCACAGAGGAGGCCCACCTAGGGACCCCCAAATGACTTGCTCAGTTCCCAGAAAACCCATTCTCAAAGCAGAGTTGGAGAGGAAACCCCCTCCTTCCCCTCCCCCCACACCCCTCCCTGCAGTACAGTGCCTTGTCTGGTCAGGGTGCCAGGAGGGACCTCCACAGCCCTTCCCACGGGGCAGTCTGGAAAGCCAGGCTCCCACACAAGCGAGGCAGCTGCCAGGACTGCGAGGCGAAGCACCAGCAGAACCCCACTAAGGACAGGCCCACGGGGGCAGGCTGGCCTGGGGGAACACGGCTCAGACCTGGGACAGGCCCACGGGGGCAGGCTGGCCTGGGGGAGCATGGGGCCTGCGCACGGCTCAGACCTGGGACGATGTGTGTAGGAAAGAACAGTCCCGCCTCCTCCCCAGGGACGAGCCTGGGCACTGGGGACAGGCCACTACCACCTCTCACCCACACAGCCTAAGCGGCTGTGATGGGAGGACTCTCGGAAGAGGAGCTGCCACCCCGGGAAATCTGAGGAGGGACGGGGAACTTTCCTGTACAAGAAAGCAACACGGCCATCCTGCAGCAGCAACTGTGAATGCTGACAGAGGACAGAACCCTAGACCTCCCCTAGAACCCATACCCTCCCTCCCCCAGAACCCAGACCTCCCCTAGAACCCACACCCTCCCCCAGAACCCACACCCTCCCTCCCCTAGAACCCACACCCTCCCTCCCCCAGAAC